TATACCTAAAGAGCCTAGAACCTACAAATTTGTAGGTTCTTCGATAAAAGCTCGTGTTTCAGTATGGTGACCAAGGAAAACTCGTGTTTTCCTGGAAAAAACTCGTTTTTTCACTATACTGCATGAAAACAGGACATTTGAAGGCTTTATGAAGCCGACCACGGTCTTTTGGATGAACTGGGTGGCACGGAGAGCATGAGACATGGGCTCAAACGTGCTCAAGATGTGGAATCTTCAGGCCCTCATGCAGTTTCTTTCAATCAGTGCACCAGAGTGCAGGCTATACTGTAATTGTAGTGTGAAGGGACTTCCACCACACATGAACCAAGGTCCCACATGAAGCCTTCATGAATTTCTATCGTCCCACAGAATTCCTGTTCAACCCTGACATCCGCTTGGATGCGGCCGCTGCTTCATGCCTTTTCCAGCCACTCTCTGGCTCTTTGCTTCCACGGTGAAGATGGAAGAGGCCAGGTTGACTCCTGCAAGAGAGCAGCTTTGTGAATGGGAACGGTCGGCAAACCTGCATGTCCATACCCATATCCATTTGAAGCATTTGGCCCTATAGCTTTTGAAGACTCAACTCAACTGTGTATAGGTTCAGCCCCCCTGTGGCGCCATGAGTTCTGAAGACGTTGGTTCTGTGGAGGGCAGGGCCAAACTCGACTTGACTTCGTTGCACGAGGCATGGGAGCGAGAGCAACCCATCAGACAACTTCTCCGTGAGAAGGATGCGGTCTTGTTCTCACAAAATATTACCGAGTCAGTCAAAACCACCTGCTATCCCCACATCAAGTCTTTGATCTTGCCCTTGTTGGGGCAAATGGCAGAGACTACGGGTGCCCCGCTGCCGTTGGTGGAGCCACTGAGGGGTCAACTGGCCCTGCTGTACAAAACCTTCTCGCGGCAAGAAGATGATACTCAAGTCATCCATGACAGCTGGATGTTGAGGAAGTTTCTGTCATTCATCAAGATGAAGACCAGAACCCACAAGCCGAGCAAGGTCCCTTGTCAATTAAGGTGTAAACATCCCTGCAGCCTGCATATTATATATAAGTCGTCCTGTTCATGCGGATGCTCACAAAAAAACTCTATGTAAAACAAGTTGTGCACTTTGCTGAGCTGAATGGGGTCGAAAGTGTTTCAATTGTGTGGGTAAACCGTGCTCTATCAATTCAACCGACTTCCCATTCAGCACTGGTCCTATAAGGTGAAGGAGTTTCAGCAACTCTGCCTACAGCTGGATCCGTGTTTGCAGGCCCGCTGGATCAATGTTTGTCAAGTCAAAGCACTGAGCGTTTACACAACCAGTTGCATAAGCACAACTTATTCACAAAATCTCACTGTTTTTCGAGTAATCTGTTTCAATCAAGTAAACAATTCACAGAAAACACCATGGCAACCGCAGGCCCTCGTCGATGACATCAACTCAAAGGAGGAAAAAAAGAGTTGCTGCTAAAAAGGGCAATGAGGCCATCTCAAAGGGTCCAGTCTTCATGTGAGGCTCTACATCTATATACAAAATAGTTTGCCTTTATCTTGCACACTGTTATTGGGTCCTTGATCCAACAAATACACAACATGTGGTTCTGACATTGGCAGGTGCCCGGTGAGATTGACCTGGATCATTACTCCGAGGGCGGGTCGGAGGAAGAGGGGTCAGGAGATGTTGAAGTTGAGATTGTTGGTGAAGATATTCATGAGGGTCCTTCAAAGCCTGGAGCTGGCGCTCAGATTCCTACTGAGATCGTTGAGCCAGAGCAGTTTGAAACTCAGCCTACCCATGAAAATGGTGGTTTGCAACCTGAGCACACTGAGCAACCTCGCCCTCCGGTCTCTCCTGAAGCTCCAGCAGCTCCATTGTCTGCAGCTATTCCTCCTGCGGACGCTGCGAAAGCCAGTCAGAAACTGAGCTAAAGTGCACAGCACGATATGAACACCAAACGTTGAAAAAAATGCTTTAACTCGCGCTGCATACAAAGGGATGTTTTGATTGTATGGTGGAGCTCGTTTTTGTGAGGGCTATTTATTGGCCCAGTCTTCTTCAAGAACATGTCGCTTTTAATTCAAGGTGCTAGCCAGAAGCTGGAATTGGTCAAGAAGCGTTTGGAAGAGTGCGATCCTAAGGTGTCTCACAAATCACATATAAGAGACTAGGATGTGACAGGCCAAAGAACAACATCACGTGGTATATAGAAAGGCCCCATCTCCACACACTTGAATTGTTCACTTGTCCTAAAACATGTAGTCAACTTGGAAGCCTAACCAACGCAGTGTTTTTGTACAAACTTTTTTGGTGTGTTCGAGGCTCCGCTTGAGGAAGAACGCGCAGCAAAGCTTTGCCGCTGCGCCCTCCTTGGAAAGCCCCTGCGCACCAGGCTCCACACACGATTACTTTTTTTGGCCTTACACATGTTTCGTCGGGGTGGGGTGATATATATGCAATAAAATCAGTAATCGTTGCAACATACCGCCGGGATGTCTCAAAACTCTAAACACATAAAGTGTAATCGATCTCACTGTTTGTTTTTTGCGCACCCCTTTGGGACTGAAATTTTAGATCCACCTGCGCCACTTCGATCAGAACGGCCACATTACAACAATGAGGCCATGTGCAAACTGCTGAAACGTGACCTCGTTGCAGGACCTACTACGTCTACATCACCACAACTACTTGGCTCAGGTGTGGACAACCATGAGACTCAGGTTTTGGCACCAGCGGAGGCGCAGGATGCTTTGCAACAGCTTCAGTCTGAGACTTCTCCCAAGCCAGAGCCTTCACCCCAGACATCCGCTGAAGCTCGCCGTGCGGAGTATGCCACTGCTTCAGGAAAAGTACCCAAACATGTGCGTGAGCAGACTCCGGAGCTGCATGCGAAGACCTTGGAGTCTGGGGAAGCAATTCTGCCATCGGCTGGCCAAGCCCAACCGAAGGACAGCGTGTGCAGCTCAATATACGTGCTGTTAAGACAGTTGCGGTATATCACCAAATCATCCATCTGAAGTGACAACTTTTTGTGTGGCTACCAAACACTTGTGGGAACTTATATATACAGAAGTCAGCCTGTGCAATTTTCTTTCTCCATCACGTGTTGCCACCATCCTTGGTTACTGCAACTTTGTTCCTAGCATCGCGTGCCAGGATGCGGATGAGCGGGGCCATGATGATTCCGATGAGGAAGGACAAGTTACCTTCGTCTTACGTGATCAGCAGTTGAGGAGCAAGGCCACCAAAAAA